GTTAAAAATGGGTTTGAAAAATGGGTTTCAGTTTTGTGCATGGACAAGTACTTGAGTGGAGTGTGTTCAAGAAAGAATGGGTTGGGGAAGTGCAGGCAGTGAGTCTAAACAACTCTCAGTACAATCTAAAGACTGCCTGCCATTGCTGATCCAGTTGAAAGGGGAAATCTGATGGCATAATGGCTAGAGCAAAAGCCTTGAGTAGGAAAAGTGGGATGGGGATTAGGACACAAGTGACCGAGCCAGCTTTAGGAAGAAGTAGAAAAGCCCATCTACTGTAAGAGTAGAAGGTAGAGTAAGTGGGATGGGTATAGATACATGCAGAGAGGTAGAGGGATAGTGGAGAAATGGAGGTGTACTCATCTGACTGATGCTATATAACACAATGAAAGAAAAATGCAAATGGGATTTAATCGGGGAAAGGAAATGAGTGTGGATGCTAAAGAAGTTATGACATGCTGAAAACAAAACCATAGGTTAATAGATTATATACACACTTCTTGCTAAATTCATGTTTGTAATTTTGACTTTGAATGTAAATATTGTTCTTTGTCTGGGATTTTTTTAGGGGTGCCTTACCTATTCAGTGACAAAGAAATAATGGCCTAATTACTTCATGGTTCCATATTCATTATATCCGTCTATCCTCAAACTGGAAAGCAGTATAGCTTTAAGCCTATGAAGGAGTCTGGTAAAATCAACCATGACATTTGGGATAAGATAAAGATTAAGATTGAATATTTGCATGGGGTCCCTATGTGAAGCTAAGTGAGATTCTAACGGCCCTGAATATGCATGAAAACTGATGGCTAAAGTCACCCAAAAGTTAATTTTGCATGGGGATTGGGGATCTGCTCAGAATACATTTTTTTCCTCGGGGAACAAGCCAGGAATGATAACTTGACTTAATCTAATCGTTGGAGTAGATAAAAAATAAACTCTGAGCTGAGTAGAGCATGGTATCTTTATTCATTTACTTAAATTTGTCACTCAACCTAGTTTTTTTGGACTGTTATCTGACAGCCAGTGTAGAAACATATAAAATGAAGAAATAAAGAAATGTATCTAATACAACAGATGTACTTAGGATGCCTCCTATGGTGTATCACCACTAGGCCCAATGAATACCAGGGAATAATCACCACCTAATAAAGTGAGGATGTATAAGAAATTTCCATGGGACTTCTCACAAATAATTACATGGGAATTGACTCCACAGGAGCCTTAGGGCATCCTAATTAGGTTGGAGCATGACCTGGAACAAGTGGGAACAGCTACTTTAAGCCCTGGAGAAATTGAGATTTAGAACTCTACATGAAATTTTCATTAAATAATATTCATGATAAATTAGAGGTAGAGGTAAGGTAAACCAATAACATTTTGGGTGTTATATGCTGAAGATATTATGTGCTAGGTTGGAAGGGTGTGATGTCAGACAGAGGTTTAAGGACACAGAGTATGCATTAGTTATGGAATTGTGTTTAAGAAGTTAGAAATGTAGGCTGTGTTCAAGAGATATGCTGTGTGAATTATATATCTAAAAGTCATTGATGTATGTCAGAAGGAGTCTGCATCAAGTTAGGATAAATTGACTATTTGAATAAAAATGATCAAACCTGGACTTGAATTTAACTGTTGACTATAGAGAAGTATTTCCTGTGGACATACCAGGAATAATATGTGGATTTCTAATGTTGACCATGATTTTAATGGCCCTTGAATAAACCTGTTCACAAGATTAGTAATCAGATCTAGCTATACATTTTCCCAAGATATCCAGATATCCAAAGATATTGCCATGGATCCTTGATGTTATTATATATTTATAACTAATAAAGATTTTATATACATACACAGACAAACCTTATTTTTGATCCCCATATAAAACACACAAGATAGATAAATAGCAACTATTTTGTTGTGACTGTTTTATAGCTAGTTTAGGTGACTTTGATCAGATCTGAGGCAAGAGACTCAAGCATTCTGCATATCCCATTACATCCCATGGTTTTCTGTTCCCAGCTCTAAGGTTGCAGCCAGATTTTTAAGATTTTAATGCCCCAAAATGCCAATCATATTAAAAGCTTGAGGGGCCCCAGAAGTGTTAATCCTAATAAAACAGTTAAGTGTTAGTTATAAAATTAAATAAGAGTTTAATAGTTTCTCTTTTAGGTATGTACCAAAAGAAATGTGTATCTTCATCAAAAGACATGCAAAGTAATTTTCATAACATCACTATTCATTCTCAGCAAACTAACACAAGAATAGAAAATCAAACACCGCATGTTCTCACTCATAGGCAGGTGTTGAACAATGAGAACACATGGATACGGGCAGGGAGCATCACACACTGCGGTGAGTTGGGAGGAACCAGGGGAGGGACGTGAAGGGTAGGGAGGTTGTGGAGGGATAACAGGGGGAGAAATGCCAGATACAGGTGACAGGGGGATGGAGGCAGCAAACCACATTGCCACGTATTCACCTATGCAACAATCCTGCATCATCTGCACATGTATCCCAGAACCTAAAGTACAATAAAAATATACATATATTTTAAAAAATCACTCCAAATGCCCATTAACTATTGAATGTATAAATAGATTGGGTTATATTCATGAAATACGTCATTATACAGCAATGAGAGTGAACAAACTACAATTTATGCAATGATATGCCCTAATTTAACTAACACAATGTTGAACAAAAAAGGCTAGAAACAAAATCATATATTCATTTATATTATGCTGCTAAAATTAAAGACAGTAGTTATCCTTGGTGATTGATAGTGACATGAAGGAGGCCTGAGGGTGTGGAATCTCTGAGGTGTTGGTCACCCTTCCTTTGTGCAAATTCATTTTCTTTGTGTTTTCTTGGTAAAAATAATGTTGTACACTCATGACTATATATTTTTGTATGCATATTAGGCTTCAATAATAAGCTCAAAAAATGAAGAGTTCTGATTTCAATGATAAACGTTAGCATTTTCTAGCAATAAAAGTTAAGACATGTTCTAATGTAGGCCCAAAGACTACTTCAGAGAAACCACCATGGGTGTGGAAACTAAACCCTCTGAACCAAACAAGAAGTGAGGTCCTGACACCAAGTTAGAAATGAAAAGCTTGGTTTAATCAAGTATTTTTAAATGTGCTGAATGAGAATTGACCTAAGCAATTCTCAGAAACAAATTAACTTTTACAGTTAACAATCTGGCAGTGATGTTATCCAAATGTGGGGAAAAAAAAAAAAAACCTACAAGGAATACCTAATCAAACCACAATCAATGTATGGATGAGGGATACTGGTTTGCTGGAAGCAGATATGTCCATCAGTTTACATGGCACATACTTTCTGATCTACCTGATAAAATAACTTGTTTAAAAAGAAACAATCAGAAGAAAGGGGAGGCCTCTATGAGGCTGGCAACAGACTGCTAATCGATGAGATGGACACTGATCCAACCATCTTCATAAGGTAAATGGTCTTGGCTTACTGATTCCATTCTACCAAATGCCTGGTGAACTAAAAGATCTTTAAGACTAATGTAAATTACAGGATGGGCATAAACTTCTAAGTGCCCACTGTATTGATGTCATTTGAAATCAGTTGAGGCTGGTAAACACTCTTTGAAGAGTTTCTGCTGTGCCTTTTCACAAGGCAGCCAGATTACAGTAAAACAAAACTAAGACAAGAAGACTTGTTAGGGGAGGAAACACTGTTCTTTATGGCTTCCTTGAACAACAGAGTGTGCATAGGATCAAAATGAATGACCTGGAGTTCAGTTTCATTATAGATATACCACACATACATACACGCAAACACACACACTCCTCAGGTACAAACATATTAAGGTGAATAGGTGCATATAAATCTCACATTGCCATAACCTATAATGATTCAGAGATACTTAATTTGTTATTGCCATATTCATGCCGAGCATCTATGCGACCTTCTGTATCCCAGTAGTTGCTCAGAGACCTTAGCTCCTTGAAGGCCAATGAACCTGTCTCCATGTGCCAAAATATGATCCTTCCCAGGTTACATGAGACCCCCACAACATGTATGACCTTCCTCAATGTGATGGCAAGCAGGCAAAGGCATACAACTTTGCTGTGCTGAAAAGTAAGGCTGCCACATAAATACAGGGTGCCCAGTTAAATCTGAAGTTCAGATAAATATCATATAATTTTTAGCATTTAAGTGTGGCCTGGGCAATGCTTGGGACATAAACATGATTTAAATATCAGATTCTAATTTAACTGGGTGTCATCTATTTTTATTTGGTAAATCTGGTAACTCTACAGGGAGGAATCCAGGCAAATTGATACCTGAATCAACCTACCAGATTAGGGGAAGTAAAGAGGGTAATGTGAGACCTATCCCCCACTTTCTACGTTTTCTACCAGCTGCAAGCGAAGTGGAATTTAAAGATAAGCTCTTGCTAACTACTTCCTAGTTTGTGGTTTAGTAATGTGGTAAAAAGCCTTTCTCAATGCATTATTTTTTGTTGGCAAATTGGAGAAGAAAAACAGCTTAATTGCCAGTTGAGGTTTCATATTTCCTCAGGCATAAATCACCAAAACAGATTTACCATTGTCACAAATACTGATGAAAAAAAAAAAAAAAAAAAAAAAACAGGAGAGATATCTCTGATGCTGCTAAGTATCTGGTAACTTTGCAATTAATGACAAAAATAATGGAAGTTTGATGGAATTTGTATTTGGGACCTCAAGATTAAACCACATTACTGGGAGGCTCTAAGATGTATTTAAATAATGTAGACATTATTTGTAACATCAGTATCTCATAACATTTAAACTTTAAATTCATGCTTTATTTTTAACATTTTATTGTTGTTTCTAGCATCATTTATGAGATGTAAATGAACTAGCTGGGAAAAATATATATACTACTTTTTCCACTTCGGAGTTATTTTAACATTTTTATTATAATATGACTAAAAAGAAAAGAGCATTGATTTGTTAACACAAGAACATACAAATAAAAGTAGATTCCTTTAAATAAAGGTGAATATACTGTACTTCACTACTGCTCCCATTGTTCAAAGTATTTTAGAATTCTTGTGGAATTACCATAGTACCCCACCTGCAATTCTTTTGATTTTTCTTGGCATTTTCTCCATTTAAGAATATATTTCATGTAATGAGTGATTAAGTCATTTAAAATTATGCCCAGCCAATAGAGGGTTTAATCTAGGCTCATAATACTGTGTTTGACTAATAATATTTGGTAGCAAAAAAAATGATACTGGCCAGGAATCTGACCATAAATAACAATGTCAAAAGTGGTACACTAATGTAGGCATATGATGATATCATTCTAAATAACCAATTTTGAAGGAATTTTCATATATGATTTTCAAAATGTTTCATACAAATATTAGTCTCTAACCATAGAAATAGATTCATTTGGCTTTACTCTGAAGTAAACACTTAAGTCAGAAATCACCTGAGAATCTTGCAAATTATCCGTATAGAACTAGTCAAAGGCAATCAATAAGGCAATTCACATGACCTCTCTTTAGAGGTAGCTTTTTACAAAGAAAATGTCACCTTCCCCATGGACTAATTTCCCTGTTCTTTAGAGATGAATTGTATCGGATGCCATGGTAACATCTAGAAGTGCATACTGCATATGACAGTAACAAATGCTTATGGAATTTTGAAAGTAGAACTTCAGGGTCTGAAGGGGTAAAGCCCAAATACTGTTTTGTAAAACCTAAGATTTTACAAGTCAGGAGGAAAATCCAAAGTGTTAGATAGAAATTTATCAGTTGAGGCCAGGCACAGTGGCTCAGACCTGTAAATCCCAATACTTTGGGACGCTGAGGTGGGCAGATCACTTGGGTAGATCAATTGAGCCAGGGAGCTCCAGACCAGCCTGGGCAACATGGCAAAACCCTGTCTCTACAAAAATTACAAAAATTAACAAGGCATGGTTGCACATGCCTGTGGTCCTAGCTAATCAGAGGGCTGAGGTAAGAGGATCATTTGAGCCTGGGAGGCAAAGGTTGCAGTACGCTTAGATCAAACCACAGCATTCCAGCCTGGGCGACAGAGTGAGACACTGAAAATATTTCTTAAAAGCTCAGGAAGGTTTCTGTTCCTTGTTAAGCAAAACTTTTGAAAAAGTAAAGTTAGGAGATCCTCTGTTTGAGGATGGTTTGTGTGCCGAGTGTGGGATGCAAGGCTTCTGTGTCTTGAAAAAAAGATATTTCTATGACCTAATATTACAGAAACTTGTTTTATTTAGAGATGAGGTTTTTTTCTATTAAACTATTTTTAGAGCAATTTTGGTTTACGCAAAAATTGGGCCGAATGTACAGAGTTCCCACATGCCTCCACAGTTTCCTCTGCCATCAACAACTTGCACTGCTGTTGTACATTTGTTACATAATAAACCAGTATGATATGTTATAATTAACTAAAGTCTAGAATTTACATTAAAGTTCATTCTTCATGTTGTACAGCTCTATGCATTTTTACAAGTGCATTATGTCATGCATCCACCATTACAGTATCATACAGAATAATTTGACTGCCCTAAAAATGCCCTGTACTGCACCTGTTAATGTCTTTTTCCTCACTCTGAGCTTCTAGCAACAATTGCTCTTTTTATTGTCTTTACAGTTTTGCCTTTTCCAGAATGCTATACAGTTAGAATCACACAGTATAAAGCTTCATAGCTCATTTCTTTTTATTACTAAATAGTATTCCATTTTGTGGATATACCAGGGTTTGTTTTCCCATTTAGCTACTGAAGGGTATCTTGTTGTTTGAGAATTATTATTGTTTAACTATAAAATGATGGTGATTTCTTTTAAAATCTCACTTCAAGAAATCAACCCCATGTTCTGAAACTTTGTGATTTTTTTTTGAAATTGTATTTATTCACCTGGCTACCATTTATAACAAATTTTCATAGTCTAGAATACAAAGCTGAGGCTTGTTTTACTGAGAGATTTTATTATATTGTGTTTCTGCCACACTCTCAGCCTCTACCAAACTCTCACAGACATACAATTGGGGAATAAATACTTTATTGTTAACTCCTTTATGTCATCATTCTATCCCACTTCCCCATTTTTACCATCTCTCAGAGGAACTATCACTATTACTTCTAACTAGATTTTCTCACTCGGGCCTTCTTCTCTCCAAAATATTCTCTGCACTTCTGCCAGTGAGCTGCGTAACATGTCAATCATAACACTTCCTGGTTTAAAATTCTTCAAAGACACTCCATTGTCTTCAGGATAAAATCCTGAGATGTAAACAAAGAATCAAGTTCTTTCCTGATAAGGTCCATGCCTTCTCAACATTCTATTATCCTCTGCTTCTAGAATTCTGAACATTTGGAACCCCAATTGACCTTCTGTTCTTTTCACTTATTGCTTCTGCTTCTAGTTCTCCTTCCCCTTTATTTTTTTTTATTTTCTTACCAACACAGATGTCTTCTCCAGGAAGCGCTCCTTTGAGCCATCACAGTGTTTTGTAAAATTTTATTTATCTTTAGCATTCTTAGAACTTCTCCTTGGGAGAAGATACTGAAAAGTTTTATATTTTTAGTAGCTAGTCAGTACATTTGACTCCATGTCCTGTGTCTTATACAAAATTGATTTTCATCCTCCTAAAATTCTATGTGGGAGCTTAACCATTCACAACAACAAAAAGATAATAATTATATACTTAATCAATATAAACTTCTTTTTCAATGTTCAGGGATAGTTGATGTATATGTGTTCATTCGGTTCTCACAATTTTACCAGTAAAGTATGCATTGTCTGTCTGTCTGTCTGTCTCACAAATAGATGCTCATAGTGTCTTCAGCAAATAAAAGGTGTATTTTTTGTTACATAACAAGAAAGCCCAAATACAGGCCACCCAGGACTGGTATAACAGCTTCAAGGTGACATCAGTGAAGCAAATGACTTTATCTTTCTGTTCTAACATCTGTAGAGTGTGGCTTTCTTCCTCATGGTCACAGAATGGCTGCTTCACATTCATTTTCTATCTCCCCTTCCAGAATAAGAAAGCAATGAGGGGAGTGGGTGCAATCCATGGAGGGAAAACAAAACTTTCTAATAAGCTCCCAAGAGTTTTTTAAAAATCTCAGTATCCAGAACTGGTCAAGGAATTGGGAAATGCAGCTAATCATAAGGACATTCTGAGAAAAGTTAGCTTACTATTAATTTTTTTGGTGTGGGTTGGAGCCATGGGCAAACATGAATACCAGCTAAGCAAGTAGCAATGTTTGGCACAGAAGACCAAACATCGGTCTCCTGTTTAAGCAACACTGCAATTCCCAAGCGAAGTTATTTGTCCCATCAGTCCAAATGATGCGTGTATGATTATAACCTCCATATCCAGACAGACGTCTGTTGCTCTCAGGTATTTAATTAATGAAAGATGATATCCATGGATATATAATATGGATGTTAAGTCATTATAAACCTGCCACTGTTTTCTTGCATAGGGACAGTACTTAATAGGATAACAGATTGAGGCCTCAACTGATAGTTTCAAGGGTGTATTTTTGCAGTGAGAAAAGCCCAGTGGAAATTAAACCTCTCCATTCCCCAAAACAAATACTAGACAAATACTTTGTCATCCATCCCAGCTGCCTGGAGCCTTGGAACTAGGGACAAAATCCACAAATATAAAGTCATGCAACTGTTTTGTCCCATTGCTGTGAGAAGATGCTCATTATAGAATAGAAAAAGACAGTAAAACAAATGCATATAAAACAAATTGATTGGTGTTAGGACTATATTGTATGTGCAGCAAACCAAAACTTACTTATAAATGAAGACAAGGATGCCATTTTCAAAGAATGCTGAAGATAATTTCCAGTAGTGGATTGACCTTGTGAAGAAAAACAAAATATAATAAAACTAATTTTATACTGAAGAGGGAGGGAAAGGTGAGGAATAATCTCTCATTATTTTTTTGCATTATAACCACATAGTAAATTATATAATGTAATAATGTTTCAGATCATGTTCAGATTTTTATAAAACTTTATAACACTTTCTGAATTTTTTCTGAGCTTTGGAGATTAGGCAGAGCTTGAGAAAATGCCCTTTATTCACTTCTCCTGAGCAGACAGATTACCATTAAATACAACTGACACATATTTATTTTTAAAAAATGCTGGTGTGAGTTTTGGTCATTATATAAACGAATACACAAAAATGTGCTTTCAGTAATTTTTCTCCCCTATATTGTAGAAATCATGGAGGGAGGGGAAAGGAGGACTTTTGTTTTCTGTTATGTAGTCTTTGTTATTAAAAATATGTTACCGAAAGAAAGAAATTATATATGTAAGCATCTCTTCATTCCACCATTAGAGAAAAGTAGTACCACTTCATATATCTCCATGTGCCCTTTGAACAGTGTGGTACACACAGATTAGAAGAGTTGATTTAAGGTACATAGCTATGTGCTATAAACAGAGCTTGACATTTTTATTTTAAAAATTAGCTTGAACCAGCCAGTCATTTTATAATGCCAAAGCAACTTCAGTCCTTCACAATTCTATTGCTAAACATTTTAGAACAGTAGAATTTATTTTAAAACTAATTCAGTACCTCGCTCCACTCAGAGAACTCTTTTTCAACTTGGTTTTCAATTTAATAATTTATTATGGAGATTGCATAATTAAAAGTACTAAGATGCCAGGAAGCTAATGAAGAATACAATAAGCACACTGAGGAATGAAAATTTTTATGGCTTTTATGCACAAAGCACTTGAGGCTAATTATTTCCAGACCAGCCAGTGAATGGAAAGTTGTCCTGAGAGAGTATTTAACTTCTATGACCTAAGGTGATCCCCTCTTATACACAATCCTTGGTAATACCTCCAAGTTAGTTCTCTCAGGGTTTTTAACCTTGGTGAGCTCAGAGAAAAATCTAATGAATTAATTTTGAAGTTGTCACTGAACTATGTCCTTTCACCACTTGACCTTACACTATACAAGGCCAGAACAAAGATGTGAAAGCTCATTTTCCAGAACTGCCTTGCATGTCCACTGTAGGACTAAAAGTAGTCCTAGGCCCAAACACTTTTGACCAACCAGAGAAGCCTAAAAGATTTCAAATTCAATTTTGGTCCCAGGTCCCTATATGAGGGCATAAGAAGACAAGTGAGTTGGGTGACTCCCTTCATACTTGTTACAAATGACATCTGACTTCCTATAACACAGTCACATGAAAAAAAAAAAAAGTTTTGTCTTTCTCATTCTTTTTTTCTTCCAAAATTGATATGTACTGGCTGGCATTTTCCATAAAGAGACAGTAAATATACAGGGCTAGCCTTTTTTTTTGACATTTAAGCATATTAATTTTCCAAGGAGGAAATAAAAGGTGAGTTTGAGTTTACAGCCCTAGAAAATGATGTTGCAGGTCTATTTGTGTCTTGATTTAACAGGGATCATTAGGACTTGAAAATGACATACTTTTGGCAGTTCTATTGGTTAAAAACTGCCTCCAATTATTTTACTTTAAGATGTGGTTATTGATTTTGGAATATAAATAGCATCTGATGACGATATTTATTGGTCACTACTGGGTTCCTAATTTGGCTACCAGCAGAGTTCTGGAATGTCTGTGAGCCTATTAACATCATGTTTTGTTCAAATGCGTATCCCCAGAACCCAGTATGCTTGGTCTTAAAGTGTGTATCTAACATTAAATGGGGTTAAATAAAATATTAGTTATATGAAGCTGTTTGGACCCAATTTCAGACATTGCTCATAGTTACTTTTACCATGTTCTATTCCTTGAAAGTGAGTCACTAAGCACAGTCTACACTGAGGGGAAGACAATTAAATTCCATTTTTTTTTTTTTTTTTTTTTTTTGAAGACCAAGTCTCATTCTGTCACCCAGGCTACAGTGTTAACAGTGCGATCTTGGCATACTGCAACCTCCACCTCCTGGGTTCAAGCAATTCGCCTGCCTCAGCCTCCCGAGTAGCTGAGATTACAGACATGCACCACCACACCCAGCTAATTTGGGATATTTAGGAGAGATGGAATTTCACAATGTTAGCCAGGCTGATCTCGAACTCCTGACCTCTGGTGATCTGCTCGCCTCAGCTTCCAAAAGTGCTGGGATTACAGGCATGAGCCACCACGCCTGGCCTAAACTCTATCTTTTGAAGGAAAGAATATGACAGAATTTGTGGGCATATTTTAAAACCACCACAGTCTTTAAAAAACCAGCCAAAACTCATACTATCTTTAAAAATAAGGTCCAAACAGCTTCATATCACTCAATAATAATCTAGCCTGTTTCCTTCCCTGAAATTTCATTCTTGTAATGGCCTCCTAAACCCTCCACTCCAATAATTTTAAACTGCACAGAAATCCCAAAATAGATCAAACTATTGACACTTTTGTACATTTACTGGGGCTTCCTAAACCTGCTTTGCCCTTCCTTCCATGTCTATCTTGCAATATTCATTCATTGCATCTCAACTGAAAGTTCAACTTAAATACAAAGCCTTTTCTGACTCCTTGAAGAAAACAGACAGAAATTTAAATAATATTTATATAAAACAGAAATATATATATATATGTGTGTGTGTGTGTATGTGTGTGTGTGTGTGTGTGTGTGTGTGTATGATATACATAAAACAAAGAGAGAAAGTGTGTGTTTGAAAAGAGAGAGCCAAAAACAGGATCCAGAAACATTTTCTGAGTTGTATAGTGTGGGAACAGTAAATTTCCCCATGGAGTCTAAGGGTTTCTAGTGAGCAATTTATTTTGTATTCACCATACCTAGCACAGTACTTTACACAGTAATTATAGACTAACAAATCACTTTCATGTTGCCTCAATTTTCCATCATAAGTGAGAATCTTTCTTAAGGTTTTTTTCATCTTTTTTCTTTTTTGGTTTTTTGTTTGTTTTAAAGGTTAATATAAATGAGTTTGACCAAAGCAGAAAACTGAAAACACAAAATATTTGTAGATGAGATCCACGCTGTCTCAGAAATAAATGATTATTCTCTTTCTCACAAATGTGAATTTGTCATATAATGGAGACAAGTTTCCTAAGGAATTTTTTGACTTTGTCATATAAATCTATCTGAATATATACAACCACATTTACTTGAAGCAGTTGTGGAACTGGATCAAAGAAATGGGATTCCTTAGGTGTCCAGCCCCTGTCAAAGTATACCTTTATTGCAAATCTATTGAAAAGGTCGTTCCTTTGAACAGAAGTCAATAAGGCCTAGACTTTAGAGCATGAGAAAGGAGTTGGGCACTCTGTAGTCAAGAGCATTGAGTACGGAGTGTAAATGTATGTTTATGATGGCTGATGATGTTGGGAACATTGCTGAAGAAAAGGCAGCTCAGTCACTGCCCAGTTCTTGGTAAGCTCCATCCCTTTGCTTCTGAGTAGAAGAGAGTTTCAGGAAAAAGTGAGACACTTCCCTTGCTGGTGAAAACCCAAAGACTTGAAATTGCCTCCTATCTAGGAGAGGGAAACAGTCATTCTGCAAGGAGGTAGGGGAGGGAATTGCAGTTTTTGATACACACACCTACTTACCTCTTATTATCTCTTATTATTCCCATTTCTAATAACTATGATTCTGATCATGAAATGTGTCTTCCTCATTCATTCCTTAAACAAAGGCATTAATGTCTTTTTCTCGGCCTTTCTTATTTGCTGTACACCTTCAAATGCTAGCAATTTTGGCTATACATAAAAGTTTTGAAAAGTTCAGAAGAAAAATAAGCAATAATGCTAATATTTAGCAGTAATTATATATTAATAATAATTACAACACAATCACTCTAACTATAAAATAGGCTTTTGCAATGTTTTTTAAGTCACCCACTGTTGTCTCATATTTTCTTGGTCAACACTTAGCAATGATCATTGTTATACCAGAACAATTTATTGCCCTAGTAGCAAACTCTGATACACCAATGGGACTATTTTGTGCATTGTTTAGAAAACATCTGAACTGTTTTTGGAGCTTCCTGGATATGATGCAAAATAAATCTCATCTATTACAATAAAAAATATATCCTATTATACAGAAGATCACAGTATTGCTCCCTTCAGTATTCTCTGTGACAGATTAGTGCCAAAAGTTGTGCTCACATTTGACCAAAGTGAAATGTAGACCTTGATGAGAACATGGTAAAATACTTGGGAAGGATTTGAAATATATGTGTCAAATGAACAACTTACTTTATTGACAATTTCTGATTTAGATTCATATCAAAAATTTATTTTCAAAATTAATGAATATATTTATTTTATTTATAAAATTAATGAATTTGGGAACGAAAAAGAAATTAAACTGTATCAGGGGTCCCAGAGAAGGTTGAGAAAGATGGCCAAATAGAAGTCCCCAGCAATCATGTCTCCTGGAGGAACACAAAATTAAACAACTATCCAAACACACAAAAGCAACCTTATAAGAACTAAAAATCAGGTAAACAATCACAGTACCTCATTCTAACATCATACCAAGAAAAGAGGCACTGAAGAGGGTAGGAGAGATAGTCTTGAATTGTTACCCCTTCCCTAACCCCTGGTAGTAGCTTCATAGCACAGAGACAGAATATGTTTTATTGGGAAAGGGAGAGTGCAGTGATTGTAGAACTTCGCATTGGAACTCAGTGCTGCCCTCTCACAACAGAAAGCAACATGAAGCAGAACTCAGCCAATGCTCATAGAGAGAATATTTAGACCAGCCCTTGAAAAAGCCAAATCATTTGTCCCAACAGTGGGAACTTGAATTCCAGCAAGCACCACCACCATGGGCTAAAGAGCTCTGGGATCCTAAATAAACTTGAAAGGCACTGCAGGCCACAAGGGAAGGACTGGAATTTGTGGGCAAGTCCTAGTGCTAGGCTGGGCTTGAAGCCAGTAGGCTTGGGGTGCACACAAGTTAGTGAGACATCAGCACCAAGCATGATCCTGAAATTCCCATTCCAAGATCTAGCACCCAGACATTTCTAGACACACCTAGGACCAGAAGGGAAGCCTCTGCCTTGAAGGAAAGGGACCCATTCCTAGCAGAATTTACCACCTGCTGAATCAAGAGCCCTTGAGCCCTGAATAACCAGCAGTCGTAGTCAGGCAATACTTTCCACAGGCCTTGGGTGAGACTAAGAGCTGCACTGGTTCCAACTATTATTAGTCCATTACCATACTGCTATAAAGAATGACCTGATATTAGATAATTTATTAAGAAAAGAGATTTAATTGACTCATAGCCCCACATGGCTGGGGAAGCCTCAGGAAACTTACAATCATGGCATAAACAATGCGAAAGCAAGGCATATCTTGCCATGGTGGAGCAGAAGAGAAAGAAAGAAGGAGGGATGGGGAATTGGGGGAGTCCCATACTTTCAAATCATCAGATCACATGAGAACTCCCTCACTATCACGAGAACAGCAAAGAGGAAATCTGACCCCATGATCCAATCTCCTCCCACCAGGCCCCTCTCCTGACACATGGGGATTACAATTCAACATGAGATTTGGATGGGGACACAAAACCAAACCATATCATTCTGCTCCTGACCCCTTCCAAATCTCATTTCCACCTTACATTTTAAAACCAATCATGCCTTCTCAACAGTCCCCCATAGTCTTAACTCATTCCAGCATTAACTCAAAAGTCCAAGTCCAAAGTCTCATCTGAGACAAGGCAAGTCCCTTCTACCTATGAGCCTGGAAAATCAAAAACAAGTTAGCTACTTCCAAGATATATTGTGGAGGTGGGGTGGGGGTAGGGGTATTTGGTAAATGCTCCCATTCCAAAGGGGATAAATTGGCCAAAACAAAGGGGCTACAGACCCCATGCAAGGCCAAAAGCCAGCAGGGCAGTCATTAAATCTTAAACCTCCAAAATCACCTTTCACTTCATGTCTCATATTGGGGCACACTGATGCGAGAAGTGGTCTCCCATGGCCTTGGAAAGCTCCACTCATATGACTCTGAAGGGTATAGCTCTGTGACTTCTTTCATGGACAAACATTGAGTGCCTAAGGCTTTTCCAGGTGCATGGTACAAGCTGTCAGTGGTCTGCCATTCTGGGGTCTGGAGGAGAGTGGCTCTCTTCTCACAGTTCCACTAGGCAGTGCCCCAGTGTGAACACTGTACAGAGGCTACACCTCACATTTCCCCTCTGCATGGCTCTAATAGAGATTCCCCATAATGGCTTCACTCCTGCAACATACTCCTGCCTGGACATCCAGGTATTTCCAGGTGAAGGTTTCCAAACCTTAACAAATTTTTATGCTGTACTTCCCTTTTCAATGTTAGTTGTAATTTCAGACCATCATTTCTTCACACATATGAACATACACTTTTAGAAAAAGACAGGCCACATCTTGAACTCTTTGCAGCTTAGAAATTTCTTCCACTACACACTCTAAATCATCTCTTTAAATGTAAAGTTCCACAGATCTCTAGGGCAGGGCAGCATGCCACCAGTCTCTTTGCTAAAGGAGAGTAAGAGTGAACTTTGCTCCAGGTCCCAAGAAGTTTCTCATCACCATCTGAGACTATCACAACGTGGAATTCATTGTCAACATCATTATCAGAATTTTGGCCAAAATCATTCAACAAATCTCTAGGAAGTTACAAACTTTCCCACATCTTCTTGTCTTTTTCTGGGCCCTCCAGGCTGTTCCAACTTCTGCTCATTACTCAGTTCCAAAGTCACTTTAATATTTTCAGGTATCTTCATAGCAGTATCCTACTTCTGGTACCAATTTTCTGTATTTGTAATAACACTGCAATAAAAAACTACCTGAGACTGGGGAAATTATAAAGAAAAAAGGTTTAATTGACTCACAGTTCTACATATCTGAGGAGGCCTCAAGAAACTTACAATTAAGGAAAAGTTGAAGGGGAAGCAAGGCATATTTTACCAAGATGGAGCAGGAGAAAGAGAAAGAGAAGGGAGAAGTATCACACTTTTAAACTCTGAGATCTCATGAGAACTCACTTACTGGGTAATTTATAAAGGAAAAACCATTTACTTAGTAGCTTTGAGTATTTTCTTCATACTAAATTCCATGGCCTACTATAGCAGTTTGGGGGTTATGCTAATGAAAAACTGAAAGAAGCTCTCGGTCATAGGTGAGTAGAATGGTTTCCTTTCATTTATTTAATGTTCATTTGCTTAATGTTCAATTAAATTAATTGTTCGAAATGCATGTTTTGGCATTACACTGGCCTGGGTTTTAATTCAGCTTCTGCGGCTTACAAGCTGAGTTCACCCAGGCTTCCTCCTTACCCAGCTTCGCTATTTAATGTGTTTCATTTCATGCCACTCTCCTCATCCCTCACTACATGTTAGTCACACTGGCACTAAGTGTTTCTCACTTCCTGATGAAGCCCTTGTAACACTCAGGGGCCTCAAGATTACGTCCCTGTGTAAGTGTGTTTTTCAAATAAGCAAAACATCCAATAAACATCCAATAAACAAAATAATTTATCATCCAATAAAAGTAGTTTATCATCCAATAAACAAAAATAATTGAAAACTAACAATTTATTATATTTACAAAACTATCAAAAGATTGATTCCATTGATAATTATTGGCAAAACTTAAAAACCGTTTTTTGATATGTTCATACATGTAAGCACCCACAAACCCCTAAGAAGATATTTCCTGCAGATCTCTTTTCTATTATTCAGAACTCCACCCTGAGTCCCCCTAACCCAGCCTACTCATGCTTTGTCTTACTGCTTCTTTGCCCACACACTGGTAGATGAATTATTTTCCTCTTTGCTAATAACATCACTTTTTGAGTGAAAAACCAGGGACTCTTTGGGCTTCTTCCCTCATCCACTCACTGTTACTGCCTCACAGTAGCCAAGAAGTTCAGCTTGCAGAGACCACGTCCCTTTGATTCTTTTCTCTTTTGTAAGGAGGAAGTGTCCATTTGTTCACCTTTTATTCTTCTACTTCTGTCACACTCATGTGGTCACAGCTCTTTGATGGTTGCACTTTGTTCTTTCCACCTAGAAGTCACACAGATTGTCTTCACCTTCACTGTCCTAATTATGCCACAAGATAGATCCCCAATGGAAATGAAATGTGATCTTTTATTTTTTGAAAAGCATTCCTGGAAGCTTCAGCTGGAATTAACTGTTAAAAACTCTTAAAGTGTTTTGTAATTTTCTTGCACAGCACTAACAATAGTCACGTGTTAATTCCCCCAAACTCCCTTTTTGGAAAACAGCCTGACCAAGGCCACACACTGACTTATTGTGCCACTCCATGGGGCTACAAGTCATTCACAATGTATTCCATGTGAATGGATCTATAGAAAAAAAAAATGCACCCAACCAGTTGAATGGGAAGGAAGCCTATTCAAGATGATTGTAAGAAGGGGAAGAGATTAAACTCAACTCCAATTGAAACAAAAGGCTGGAGAGCTTTGAAGCACTAGGGTGAGCTAGTGGGAAAGTACTGGAAGGTATGAGGGGAAAGGGAGATTGGACAATGTGACTAGGCCATCTGTGTTTGCTAATTGGCACTTTAAGAGGCTCCTACCCTCCCACAGAGATAGGGAGATAGGGGCTTCATCTTTCTTGATGATTACCTCTGGAAGAGATAGCTCTCAGGGCCTTGAAAAAGACTTTCCTGGTGGTAGAAGATTTACATCTCAAAGGAACAGAGAAAGAATTAAAAATAATTCCAAGTTTTCTAATGCAAATGAGCTAAGTAAGGGAGGTGAGACCTATAGTCATGAAGTAAGCTAACTAAAGTTGAGCCAAGCTGAAGGGAATGTGAAAACATCTAGCAGGGCCACCTTGTGACAGGTAGAAATGTCACAGTGTAGCACAATGTCTAACATATAACAGATGCTCAATAAACATTGATTTCATGAGTGGATCTACTTACATTAGGGATGGTAATAATACTGCCACCTAATATTGCCAGGAGGTCTATGTGGATATTCTGTGTAAAGAACTCAACACAGGACTTAAAATATTTTTTTAAACCTTTATAAAATAATACATATATATAGAAAACAGCAAAAACAATCTTAAAACAATTAGGTTGAAAGATCTTTTGCCATCTCCTATTCTAAACCCTGCTCACTTTCCTTTCCCTGTGCTTTCAAAGAGAGATTTACTTTTAGTATGGATCACATTTTAAATTATCCTGAGAAGACCATTCAGTATATTTCATTCACTAACTGAAAAAAGTCATAAAACAAGTCAAAATGCATTATTATCCCAAATGTGTGATAATAATTGTGGGTAGTGTGTGATGGAAATCTAGACAGTTTTAGAAGAAAAACAAAAAGTTGTTATTTAATCAAGCAAAGGTTGAAGAGCTTATTTTTATTGAATTATAGGATTTGTAGTCGAGATTGAAGGCTGAGTTGCACACATGATTTTTTTTCATTTAGCAAAATATTTGATTTATTATTTCATGAAATGTTAATTACTCATATATTTTAAATTAGTTTAAATATGAGCTCCCACATGGGCTGACAGTTGTCTAAATTCTACAGCAAGTATTAATATATGCCATCTGTACCCCGGAATGTTCCCACCACACTGCTTAGTGAAGGAATCTAAAGATTCCTTTCATTAATTCCCACTGGTCCTGCAGGAATTTTTCTGATGCAGTAGGAAGTTGGTTTGTATGACTGGAATCTCATTTTTATAAATATCATTAAACGTGCATCTCATGTAATGAAGTTGTTCCCATATCCTATCTAACAGCCACTCTAACTCTGCCTTGTAATGTTGCCACTGCTGAAAGGGACAGTCAGGAGAGTGATTATGAACCCAAGCTCCAATCTCAGTTCTTCCTCTCACTAGCAATGTGACTCTCTGAGCAAGGATTAGCCTTCCCATGACTCAGTCTCCTCACCTCTAAATAAAGATAATAACAGTAGCAATCTCACAAAAGTACTGGAGAGAGAAAAAGGATACCTAAGCAGTGTCTGGAACACAGTGATAATCCAGAAAATATTAGCTATTATTCTGCTCAAGGAACTCTCACATTGAGTAGACCTGTTCTCAGGCCTCAGTGCAGTGAGCAGAAGGACATAGGTTTATTCAGCAAAAAGTTATCCTTTTTTGAGGACAGACACTCTCATTAAAACTGAATGCTGACACTTTTACCAAATGACAGGATGCTAATGGTTTTTCATGGTGTTTCTTCATTGGTTTCTAGGGAGTGCTTGGTTTCTTTTTCAGAAGGTGTGCTTACGTAGATTACTTCTACACTCCTTACTCTCATCCATGCACTTCAGAAATCTAGTTCTTGTCCTAATAGCCTCCATGAATTCTCGTTCAATTACTGCAGCCCATGGGAAATTCCCCCACTATGAGTGCTATTATTTGGCCTATTATTTAGGGGGTATGTGTGTTGGTTAATTATGTCCTAGCTCATGCTGGCATTTGTACTGGTTTATCCTAAAGTTGCAATATTTTAGGATGTACATGTCT